TAATAAAAAGTGTAAAACAGTTTTTTTTGCTTAAAATTATTATAAAAAGAAAATTTTTAACAAAATAGATATGATCAGAAGAGAGTTTTTTTTTTAAATATATAATATATTTTATTTATACTTATTATATATATGTTAATTATTATATAAATAAATATATATTTTAATAATATTGTTTTTTTTTTTAATATACAATATATTTTATATTATATTATTAAATAAAAAAAGAAATATTTATTTATTAAAAAAAATTATAAATTAATTAATAAATTAATATTTTATTTTAAAAATATATATTGATTATATTTTAAATTTTAATATATTTTTTTTATAAAAATTTATAATTTTGAAAATAACTTTTTTAAATTAGAATATTAAAACATTAATTTAATTTATTTTTTTATTTGATAAACAATTATTATGAAAATATAAAATTTTATATAATTAATAATATATTAAAATTTGTCAAATAAAATTATTATATATATTTTTATATAATAGTAAATTTATAATGTGTATTATTTTAATGGAATTTTGCTATTAAGATTTTGTATTATTTTTTTTGAGCATAATTTATATATTTAAATTAATTAAATTAATGTTTTTTTATTTATTTCAATATTGATTCAAAGTTTATGAATTTAATAACGATATTTTTTAAGAAAATTAAATGTACTATAATACCTATCTCAATTTATATTTTTTTCAAGATTTTAATAATTTGCTAAGTTATTTTTTTTGTTTAGATAAGTTTGAATAATAAGAGAATATTTTTTATACTTGCATTTTGCATTATTATTTTTAATATAACATACAGTATATAAATTGTTGTTGATAATTGCAAATAGTTTTTTAAATATTGACAATTGATTTTTAATAAAATTTAACTTTATTTATGATAGCAATGATATATTTTCGCTCTATAATTTATTTTTTTTTACCAATTACAGTAATAAATATCTTTTTTTAATTTAAATTTTGTCAAAGAAATACAATTAAATAAGATTTTATATTACAAGTTCAAATATATTAAGTAGAAAATTTAACCAGCAATAGGCATAATCTATTTTATCATTTCTTTCTATCATTCACCTATCTTCAAATACTAACACGTGATTGAATTCTTATTTGGTTGTTAGGCTTCATAATCACAAAGGGATATAACTTGTCCGCCAAATCATCCCATCCTTCCACGTCCGGATATCTTCGACCGTCCACAGAGAAGCCGATTCTCTTCAGCTCCATGTCTAAATGTACAGTCACGATCGTTCCCCTCTTAAATTCTGCCACTTTGGTATCCGCTTTGGGGGAATCAGTTTCAATTTCTTCACCAACTACTGTATTGATATTCCCATAAACTTTCTGCCCATGCACAAAATTTCCATTGTCCGTGCACAGATACCATCCTTGCATCGGATTTCTGCCGTATGTCGAAACGCAGTCATATTCTTCTGTACACACACCTATACATGCGTATTCTGACAATTTCTCCAGTATGATATCCCACTCGTGGAATCCACTAGTGAGACAGTGATCAGCTCTGGCGGCTTGAGATTGAAAATATGTGTGAGAAGAGACTACGCATCCATCTTCTGTAATCTGAAGATTATTACCGATGGCGTTAGCGGACCACTTTAGATCGTAAGCTACGGTTGATTGTGGTGGTACAATTGTAGTAGTCGAAGAGAGAGGGGGCTCATTAGATTGTTGTGAAAGTAGCGATGGAATATAACGAAGAGGTAGGTTCGTAATAATGCCAGCCGAATTTTTGCGAGTTGGAATAAGGATATTGGGATCAGAATTTTTGCGAACTGAGAACCGTTGTAGAGGAGCAATTTTGGAATCGGAGTTTTTATTAAATGAGATTTGCGAAAAAACGATGTTTGGATCAGAGTTTTTACGAGCCAAGAACCGTCGCACTACTTTCGGATTTGAATTCTTTGGAGTAGATAATCGTCCGGGATCGGAGTTTTTTCGTAAATCAAACTCGTTTTGCAAGGGAGCATTGGAAGAATTATTCGATTGAAAAACGGAATGCGGATAGTAAGAATCAGTTGGTGATAAGCTTCTGATTACGTCGATGCTCGACGAACTCCGTGTGTGATGACTACTTGTTGAACTACATGTAGAATCCCTTGAAATCAAAGTACTAGAAGGACTAACTAACTGTAAACTTTTTGGTGAGACAATAGCAGAGTTCTCTATATTTCCCCTGAATGGAGGTAATGGCACCTTCTCCCTTAGATGGAATTTAAATGCCTCCATTACAATTCTGCTCGGTAAGATTCCCAATGGTTCGACCCAGTCCGCCAATATTCTACCGTTAATCCTTCTCAGGTTAATGAATTCCATTAACGGAGTTAGTACTTTATATATCGATGATGAATAATTTTCTCTTATGGTTTGTATGATTCCATTGTGAGGTATTTTTCTTCGACGTTTGAATTCTGAGTCATCTCCCTCGTCTCTCTCGCCTTCACTCGAAGCCTCATCACCCGAGGAGGAAAAGTGCTTCCACTTAGGAAGATGACGTTCAAGGAGGGTAAATGCTTCGTACGACACTTTCTTTGCCGAAATGAGAATAGAGTATCGGAGTAAAGAGTACTCACTTGAAGCGAATGCGCTGGTGAAACGTTCGTCATCAAATGTATGCGATAAGAAATACTGCAATGTATTGAATGATAGTGCACCAACTTCTATTAAATCCAATGAAACCTTTGATGCCGATTCCATCAACAAACTAATAACGCCATTATGCTTTACTAGCAGTGATGGTTGTGGCTTTCCACGTGGCGTCAAAATATGTAATTTTGAATGCTCAACATTTTCACTAAACAAAGGTGATTTCATGTGCGACAGTAACTGAAAAGCCTTCGAAAACAATTCTGGAATTTTCAATGCATTCTTGTCATCCTTAATGCACTGTCGAAGGTACTCTTCGATCTCTGCAGCCAATTGATCTAATTGAAAGTACTCAGCTGCGTGATACATTTCAATGACGTTGCTCACGTTTAACACACTGGTCGACATACTGCCAGTATATAAATATTCTAATATTAATATTAAAGAGGTAGAATCGATATCAGGAAGAACCACGTATTTTTCATATATGTCTTTCTTGGACGGATACTTTTCACTAAAATCTTTGGAGAAAGCTGTTTTTTGTGGCGTGGGTGGGTGAGAAGATATGGTGGAGGAAGCATAAAGGATTTGTTCCATGGTATGGGAACGGGCGGCAAGGATGGAACGTATACCATGAAGAATCACACCATCTTTACAGAGGATTTCCAAGTCGCTGTAATGAGGGTTGTTGACCAACGGACGAAGATCGGCGGAAAGAGATCTCCCGCGTGTAATTTTCGATTTTCCTGCGTTGGAAAAAAACGCCAGTTAAATAGAAAATTCATTGGAATTTATTTGTGAACTTCATTGCAATTGCAATCAAATTTTATTGCGAAATTATTCGGAATTGCGCTTGAATTCTTACTTTTGATATGGTAAATATCATGTAAATAATTCATCTCATTATTTTTATATTCATCCACTTAAATAATAAATAAAAGTTATCATGTTAAGTAATAGAGATAATGTTAGATATGCACACTTAAAGATTAGTATAAAAAAATGAATATTACTTGATTCACTAATCTCAATATCCACGATTTGTGATAGGACATCTGCGCTACGAGTGATTGATGAATCTGAATCCACTGTACCAGATAGTAAATATCGAGAGTAAACCGGGTGAGCACTTTAACAATTTCGCTAACACACCCCGAGTTATTCATCAGATATCATAAATTAAATTAGAACAACACATACTCGTTCTTATAATAATCCTTGTATTTCAGACGTGATTTAGGATAAATGACGTAATAACACGGATGGTAATATTTTTGGATTTTTTATTAAAATTTGGAGAAAAGAAGAATAATGTTAACAGTCATACGAGATGAATGCTTAAGATTAGAATATAAATATGCACGCACTTACTTCTGGTTACACTGTCGAATGGTTTGACCGCTTTATTATTTGCTTCATTATGGTAATAATATTAATGTCGAACAAAGACAATAGCAAAACGATGTGTAACTTGAACGGCGATCCTACTATTACAATGAATTGATCCGGGTATAAGTATTTATGTTGTGTAAACCAATCAAAGATAATGATCAAAAGATGATATCTCGTTGATTAAACCGGATATGGACTCAAAGATAAGTTAAATTGGTATGTGTATATACCACGCGATATGCCTAGTTTACAATTATTAATATCGATAAATACGTTGCATGGATAATAATGTTTAAATAAACTATTACAAAAAAGTTATTTATACAAATTAATATTAATAAATAAATTCATAAAAACAATAATAGATGGCTAATGCTTATTTAGAATAATAAAATCATTACTGAAATGAATATTTGTTTATCAAAATAATTTTTAAAATTTGTAAAACACAAAAAAATTTTTATAATAATCTTTAAATATCTTAAAAACACATTCTATAAATCAATTACTTCTATTATGAAGCTCGTAATATTCTTAATAAGCCAAAAACAATTTCTTTATACAACTATTTATAATTAATAATCAAAATTTTAAACCAAAACTAATTGATTTATAAATTAATTTTGATTCAAATCAGTTTTGTTTTTAAAATTTTTGATCTAATAAAATTTAGATCAGTTTAAAATTAAATTAAATTTGATTTTAGATTTTTTATATTTTATATTTAAATAGAAACAATAAAATATAAATTAAATTAGATTAAAATATATAAACATAAAATTTTTTTGTTTTTTTATTTTGTTGTTTTTTTTTTTTTTTTTTGAAAAAAAACAATAAAATAAAAAAATTTTATGATTTAATTTTGTAAATAAAAATTTTTTAATAATTTTATTTATTGTTTTTATAGTTCTTTTATATTTTAACAAGTTTGTTATATTTTTATTTTTTTTATAATTTTTATATTTTAACAATTATTATTTAATTACTTTTCAATAATTTTTTTGTTAATTTTTTTTAAAATAAAACATGAAATTTCTTTTGATAATTTTAATTTTCTATATATTAATAATAAAATTGATAATTTAATCAATTATAAAAACAACAATATTAATAATATTGTTACAAGTAATTTGTTAAAAATAATATTATTCTATACAATAATAAATAGAAGCAAAGAACCTATAAGTTAATATCACAATGAATAATACTATTAGATCTTCAAATACATATTTCTAATTTGATATTTACAAAAGATAAATATATAAAAATTATTCTTTATATTAGATTTATTAGTTTTTCTATATATTTGTACCTAAATTCAAATTTAATTAAATTATATAAAGATAAACCTTTTATTTTTTTAATAATTAAAAGTTAAAAACAAATAAAAATATAAAAAATTTTATTAAAAAAAGCTTTTGATTTGACTCTTATTATAAACTTATATTTTCTTTTAATAGTATCTTTGGATATTTAAATGAATACATAGTTGGATAAATAGTGATTGACATAGCTAATTTGATAGTAATATAAGCACTAAACAACATTAATTTACAAATTAGTTATAGAGACAAAAGGGTATCTATTGTATGATTTTCAGTTAATTTGTAAAAATACTTAATGTCTATTTAAATATATAAACATATCAATAAAGATTATACACCATATATATGTTTCATTATAAATAAATATATATACAATGTGATGCAAAAAATTTTGGAATTTTTTATTTATTTATTATTCAAAAACTACTGTATAGAAATTAATAAAAAATATATCAAAATAAAGCTAAAAATCTAGAGATTTTATTAATATATA